AGATGTTTACCGCAGGTGTCACTTGGTCAGACGTGCCCTAAATATCAACAGTCAAACATTAGAAACTTGAAGGTGTTTACCGCAGGTGTCACTTTGTCAGACGTGCCCTAAATATCAATAGGCAAACATTAGAAACTTGAAGGTGTTTACCGCAGGTGTCACTTGGTCAGACGTGCCCTAAATATCAACAGTCAAACATTAGAAACTTGAAGGTGTTTACCGCAGGTGTCACTTTGTCAGACGTGCCCTAAATATCAATAGGCAAACATTAGAAACTTGAAGATGTTTACCGCAGGTGTCACTTGGTCAGACGTGCCCTAAATATCAATAGGCAAACATTAGAAACTTGAAGGTGTTTACCGCAGGTGTCACTTGGTCAGAAAAATGAGACAATGAAGTTTAAAGTTTTGAACGATGTTTTCTTACAATGTACCTGTCACTGTGATAATATCTTAAATGAGCGTGCTCCGCACCAATGTCAAAGGTTATCCGATCTGAAATTAACCAGCTCCCCGAAGATGTGGGAGCTATAGAGAATACCCAGCTACATCATAGATACCTACATGAATTCAGTCAAATACCAACAACTTACAACACACTCAACATACAGCTGGTTTCCATTTCAGCCTTCTCCACCCCCATTCCATTTGTCAGGCATTATCGCCTCTACTTGACACTTGACAAATATACTGCAAACATAACTTGGTAAAAGTACTGTACCTAATAACTTATATGCAGACGGCCGTTTCGGACATGTGTATATACAGGTGCTAGTTAACCATAAAGCTAAGCTTAAAATGATTCATATAGCTTCATGCTCATTCTTTGTTTCTTTTTCAAACCACGACTAATAACTATTGCAATGACTGTGATACATCAAGGTGTTTCTAGCCTTCAGTATATTTCAGGAACTCCTTCCCTAGATTAATTTTATACCCTCTTTCTCTCCAGAAAACATCACCACTACTAAGTCAATTATCCTACATTCTGAAACAGAAGTCAGTGTAAGAAATTTATACTTTGTGAAAGAAAAAGCTGGACAGGTTTCTCGATTTTCAAAATTACGATAATTCCTCCTTCATAATGGTGTACAAAAGTAAGATTATAATTAGTTTGAATTAGTTTGATCTGTTATTGAAACTAAAGCTACTACTGTTTCCCAGATAAATATTGTGCTCATTCTTACATGTATTTTTCAAGTTCCCTTAAGGCATTATTTGCAAGTGTTACTAAATCTACAAAGGCAAAATCCTTGAACGTGCTATATGTACGTTACAAAAATAACGCTGTTTAAGGTATTTTGTGTATCATAACAAGACTGTAGTTTCTAGAGGTATTTTGTGAATAGTAACAATTCTGTAGTTTCTAGAGGTATTTTGTGTATCGTAACAAGACTGTAGTTTCTAGAAGTATTTCGGGTATCGTAACAAGACTGTAGTTTCTAGAAGTATTTCGGGTATGGTAACAAGACTGTAGTTTCTAGAAGTATTTTGTGTATCGTAACAAGACTGTAGTTTCTAGAGGTATTTTGTGAATAGTAACAAGACTGTAGTTTCTAGAGGTATTTTGTGTATCGTAACAAGACTGTAGTTTCTAAAGATATTTTGTGTATCGTAACAAGACTGTAGTTTCTAAAGGTATTTTATGTATCGTAACAAGACTGTAGTTTCTAGAGGTTTTCTGTATATCGTAACAAGACTGTAGTTTCTACAGATATTTTGTGAATAGTAACAATACTGTAATTTCTAGAGGTATTTTGTGTATCGTAACAAGACTGTAGTTTCTAGAAGTATTTCGGGTATCGTAACAAGACTGTAGTTTTTAGAAGTATTTTGTGTATCGTAACAAGACTGTAGTTTCTAGAGGTATTTTGTGAATAGTAACAATACTGTAGTTTCTAGAGGTATTTTGTGAATAGTAACAATACTGTAGTTTCTAGAGGTATTTTGTGAATAGTAACAATACTGTATTTTCTAGAGGTATTTTGTGTATCGTAACAAAACTAGTTTCTAGAAGTATTTTGTGTATATAAAGAAGCTGTAGGTTTTAAAGGTATTTTATGTACGTCACAGGACTGGATTTTCTAGAAGTATTTCATGTATTAACACGGCTTAAGTTTTTAGAGGTTTTTTTGTACATCGTAATAAGACTAGAGTTTCTAGAAGTACTTGTGTATCGTAA